AAGGCTGCGTCGGTAACAATCTGAAAAATTAGCCTGATATGTCTTGGATAGGGCTGAAACGTTGATTAATTTGATTCGCGAAGTGTGATAAATCATCGTAATGTAGCTTAATGAGGACTCGCGCAAACGTCCCAACTGTAATGTCAAGGCGCAGGATAAAACGGGGGAGGGGGCGCACCCGTGTGCGAGCCCAGAATGAGTGGGATGGCGTGGGCGCCAGCAGATGTGTAGCTTGCAGTGAGTGTACACTTGCAGATGTGTATGTTTGTAGTGAGTGTACACTTGCAGATGTGTATGCTTGCAGTGAGCGTTTACTTGCAGATGTGTATGCTTGCAGTGAGTGTATACTTGCAGATGTGTATGCTGCAGCGAGTGTATGCTTGCAGATGTGTATGCTTGCAGTGAGTGTTTACTTGGCAGATGTGTATGCTTGCAGTGAGTGTATGCTTGCAGATGTGCATGCTTGCAGTGAGTGTATACTTGCGGATGTGTGTGTTTGCATCATCTGATATACGTATGGTGACCAATGGACTCCTCCTTATAACCACGCTCTTCTAGAGAGGTGTGACAACAGCAGCCGGCAGCGCACAAACATCCAGGGGCGGCCTGGCGGCAGCGCAGCGCACGCACCCCACCATAGGACCCCCTCCCCCCACACTAACAGTCATAACGAAATTGACAACTACGTCGATCATATATATATATATATATATATATATATAATTATATATAATCATATATATACATATATATATATATATATATATATATTATATATATATATAGTAAACAGGGCCAACCCGTGTTCGTTTGTAAATTGTCAACCTCCGTTCAGAATGGAGTAGCAAAAACAACGATGTCGGTTTGACCGTGCGCGCTCGCAAGTCCTCGGAACGCAAATCCTGACTCTTGCCGTTGTAATCTCCTCAGGCCGATTGGAGTCGGTCCTGCGGCATGTACTAAGCGGCAGCCAGCATGCGGACAAAAACGATCACGCTTCTGAAAGAAGAACCTATGAAAGCTCGAGGACATCCATTCGTGCGTTAATAAGGCAATCTGGGAGAATGTTTCACCTGAACGATTTTTCTATTTATGGTAGGAAGGGAATATCAGGCGCCGCAAACCAATGCCGAAGTGCGAGGCGGAACTGGACGGGTCGGGCTCTCGATCTCCGCATTACTGTAGCTGTTACTGTTTCGTGTTACTGTAGCTGTTTCGGTTCCGTGTTACTGTAACTGGTAATGCGTGCAACAGAAAACCTCCACATCATAGAGGTAAAATTCTGCAGCATCACTTCACAGCGGTCCTGTCTGTGCGCCCAGTCCGTGACGGCCGGTGTCAGCTGCAGCGGCCCGCGTCGCTTGGTTTGATGAAACTGCAAGTCCGGCCGTCGGCGTTCGTGCCCCCACGCTCGCTTCCAGGGCTGCGAGCGTGCAGGCTCAACACGCCGCCGTGTAGTTTGCCTCACGGGTCGGTCCTGAAAACGAGTAAGCCCCTCAGGTATACGTAGGTTGCCTTTTCTCATTTTTGACCTCATTCCGATCTGTCCTATTGAGCCCTTTGAAAACCCATTACCTTTCCAGGCCAGGGGCCCCGTGGTTAGAACACTGGGAGCACATTATCTTTGCTGATCGGAGCCTGAAGGAGCATTCCATTCCAGCGCGGGTTGCCCACCGGCTGTTATGCTGGTGACGTGGGGCTGGTCCCCTGGTCGATACGGAGACCCTTAAAGGGATAATCATACATTGGTCGCCACTCGGAAACGAGAAGCTCGCTAGGCCGGGCCGTTAGCCCGGGATCGACCGCAGGGAGCATCATTTGCGTAAAGGTATCGTTTCGCCGTAGGGGTCCAATTACTGGCAAAGAGACTCCAGTTATGGATAACGGGCCCCCTGGCTGAAATAGATTGGAGGGCGCCCGTTTGGTACTGGAGCCTCTTACTGGCGAAGGGCCCACCTATTGTACTGTCTATATTGTCTTATGTATTATTTTGACCGACTCGAGAAGCCCCTGGCGTTCTGGGTGTCGTCTCCGTAACAGTTCAGGGGCCCTGACCGACTCAAGAGGCCCCTGGCGTTCGGGGTGTCGTCTCCGTAATTGCTCAGCAACGGCTTCTCTGGCCGGCTCGGGGCCGCTGGCAGACACAGGACCCACTGTTAGGCACTGCGAGCCCCTGACCGACGCAGGGGCCCTCAATGTTTCAGGGGTTACGACCAGTGGAAATCCCTGGTCCCGGCCTTGTCTCTGCTCTGGAAATAGGGTCCTCGGGCAGGGACCGACACAGGGCCAACTGCTCGGTGTTGATGGTCTATCCCCGAAATATCGGTCCGCAGAATCCCAAGAGGCTCCCAACCGGTATAGAGGTCCTCTGGCCGACATTTGAGGGCCCAGCTCTGCGGTGTGGGGTCTTTAATGCGACTTAAAACCGGCCTTTCGGGTCCTTCAATCGGACCCACGATCGTTCGTCCCGAGGGGCCCATATGGTCCTTCGGGACGGACGGTCCCCTGGAACACTGTCCTTGGCCGACTTGTCAGGCACTTTGGGTCCCTGACTGACGCAGTAGACCCCTCACTGACTCAGGGGCCCTGACGAATCTAAATCATATGTTCCGGTCTTGTCCCTCCCTGCTCAGGAAACGAACCCCCAAGTCCAGGCCCACAGGGGCGCCAGCTGTTCTGTACTAGTGGTTCTTGGCCTACGTAGAGGCCCTCGTCGAATCAAGTGTCATCTGGCTGACATTTGGGGACCCGACCCTGCGGGTCAGGTCCCGTCAATACAACCTCTGGTCAGCCTTTGAGGGTCTTCGGGCCCCAAATCAGGCCCTTGGTCGTCTTTGCCGAGGGGGACGTGCCCCTGTGCCCACCCCCACCCAACCCCAGGTCCACCCCCACTGCCTTCGTCACTGCACGTCAGTTCCTGTTAAGCTGTTCGCCTGCCAGGCGTCAGTTAGGATACCTATTCTTCAGTTGATGGTCCTTGTCTTTGGTACCGGACGCTGCATATGATGCGACCCGTTGTTTTTGTTTTGTTGTTGTTTTGTTGTTGTTGTTTTTTTTTTTTTTGCTTTTTTGGTGGGCTGGGAACAGCCTGTTGGGATTTCATATTTTTTCCGGAGAAATATGCTGATTGAAAAGATAATGCCGTATAATAGTGTCTGGTGATACATTAAGTCATGTTTTTTTCGGGTCGAAAACGCCCTGTGGTGAAGTGCGCAGTAGTCCCCGTATGGTGGCTGGCGCGCGTCACAGCCTGGCCTGAGGAAGAGGCGCAAGCGGCGGTGGTCCGTGTTCACGAGAGTGACCTCAGAGGGTCCACGCTTTCCCAGTGGCCTGGCTGCTGGGAGCTGAGCGCGGACACCGGGCGGCAGACGTCAGATCGATAGGCGCCACTGACCGTAATCACCTACAGCCCCGCTGATCCGAAGCCAGGCACGAGAGTGGCAGCCGACCACGAGTGCCGGTGACTGATATTACTCCACCAAGGACGCTGACGAGTCTTGTCCAGCCCGGAAATAACTTCAGAGGCTGGCCAATGACGCTGACGAGTCCCGTCCAGCCCGAGGGTGGCTTCAGAGGGCGACCGAGGCCACTGACGAGTCCCGTCCATCCCGGGAATGACTTCAGAGACCGACCGAGGACGCTGACGAGGCTCGTCCAGCCCGGGATGACTTCAGAGGCTGGCCAATGGCGCTGACGAGTCCCGTCCAGCTCGGGAATAACTTCAGAGGCTGGCCGAGGACGCTGACGAGTCCCGTCCAGCCCGGGATGACATCAGAGGCTGGCCAATGTCGCTGACGGGTTCCGTCCAGCCCGGGGATCGCTTCAGAGGCCGACCGAGGACGCTGATGAGGCCCGTCCAGCCCGGGATGACTTCAGAGGCCGACCGAGGCCACTGACGAGTCCCGTCCATCCCGGGAATGACTTCAGAGACCGACCGAGGCCGCTGACGGGTTCCGTCCAGCCCAGGGATCGCTTCAGAGGCCGACCGGGGACGCTGACGAGTCCCGTCCAGCCCAGGGACAGCTTTAGGGGACGGCTGAAATCACTGACGGCAACCGGCGCCCCTCCCCCTGTTTACTCTGTGCGAGATGTAATGTCCGGAAAAAATCCGTTTAGCTCCTCATTGATCTAGAGATGAGAAACAAATAGCAGGCGTGTTCCTTGCCGTGACAGAAAGCCAACAGCATCCGGCTATAATGCAATTGTTTTTAAAGATTCAGCCTGATTTTCAACCACAGTTGAGCATAGTGTTTGGCTTTCCAACACCTTACCTCCCTCCCTTGTTACGTTTCCACTATGTTGCATTAAAACCCATCGCGCGATTTATGGGCATCCCAACGTTTGTACCCCTAGTTTTGCAGCAATTATTGCTTTATTTCTGTTGTTGATGCTGAACGCAAATACACCTGTCGACGCATTGACGCAATAACAACTGACATGCGACGCACGTGAACTATGATTATGTTCCCCAAAAGGTCATTCTATGGACAGGTTTTTTCGCCATGCCGATGGTTACCCATAGGAACTAGTGCAACTGCATAATTCCAATCCTGGGCGATAACCCAGCCGAACGAAAAACTTTGCAACTGATTTAGAGTGATTGATGTCATGGTAAAGACCCTCTGGGAATGTGCAACAGGTATACAAGCGTATTGATATGGGTTGATCATATTTCAGTTTTTGTTGATAAAATCTATATGATTCGCAAGCGTCATCTTACTATCCAACAGCAATTTGAATTTTTACGCGAGTTTTGCGGTGTTCAATGCAGTGTCTATCATAATTATGTGCTTCATAATCGTTCATACGTCCATATGTCCAATGCGGTGTTCACTGTTCATATGTTCAATGCAGTGTCCATCACAATTGTGTGCTTCGTTTCAACACCGATTCCTGACAATAACACAGGAACTTACTGAAATGTAGCGGCGCGACTTGAGCGCTATTTAATCAATGTGTTTTTGGCAGTTCTATTATAGCGAGTTTCTCGTTGTAGGGTGATGGTGGTCGGTTGGATGTACTCTGCCTTCATGGCTACGCTGCCCCTGGTCGGCATCGGCAGCTATAGCAAGACCAGGTAACCACCTCCATCAGCGCCGTCTGCGTTCAGCCCCTGCGCTTGGTGACAAACCCAACCAGCCGTGTGGCAGAAGCCTGCCCGGCCCCCTTGGATAGTGCTCCAACCACGGCCGTCTGAAAGTCAAACGTACGCATGCCCCCACTGTCTCAGGATGCAACTGTCCGATCACAACCATTCAAACGACCACGACACGCCCGTCCAATCCCGCTCGTATATCGATCAGCTGACAGGTCTGTCACGTGACTTATGACGGCACTACGGGAACAAAATACACCAAACCCGTCCAGGCCTCTCAACGCCTTCAAAGCCCTAGCGCAGGCAATAACGGTGGTAGTGCTCTGCAGCGGACACTTTAGAACAGGGAGCGCGGCTGAATGTGCCCTACAGTGGTCATCTTTGGTCTTGGTCTTTGTGTGTCCCTTGTGAATATGTCCTACAGTGCTTTAATAAGGTATTAGTTAGCTGAGCAATGCATCACAATGGCCGGCACGGTACAACTCGCTATGGTTTGATGCAAATGCGTTAAACCTCACATAAACTTTTCTAGTGACCCCAGTCTGGCCCCACGCGGTACGACTGGCCCTGGCCGGCAAGCCAGTCGATAGGCTACATCAAAACAATTCAAAACGGGAAAGGAAGCTGCACATTGGTGCCTGGGTAGAAACATCAACAGCCATATAAACCTTCACCAATGACGTTACAATCTGGCGACCTGACGAAAAAGAAACGTTTTCTTTTCTCCAGAGTGTGTCAAGCTGCTGAAACTTCGTTTGGCTAACTGGAGCGGTTTGAAAAATTTTCTAGAAGCTTAGAGTAAAGGATGGAGGTGGGTGTGCTTTCACTGTACACGGGCCACCGCAGGTTAAAAAACTGTACCACAAAATAACGCTGCATTGTGGGTACATTTGTATGCGCTGCAATGCTAGCAGCATCGATGACCAGATTCACTTCATGTCATAACTTCTGCAGAGGATTGAAGTTTAGTTGACTAACTGAAGTGGCTGGTGCATGGACCTTGCACATGGCTGGACCATCAAAAGTTATACGTGAGACGGCGCCGTTTCAACTTCGTTTGAGAACGAGTTTGAATCGACAACTTCTAAACGAGTTCTACTACTGAGTCCCCTATCTCAAGCCACGCAAGTAAATCGTTTGTCCAAAACTTAGCACGAGTCGATTGCAGATAGCATGGATGCTGATCTGGCTTTCGTTCTGTTCCTTGAACAGTGCTGCTTGCACAGCATGAAGCAGATCTAAGTCTTCAAGGTTTCGAAAATTTAGATGATTTTCAAACTCCAATAGAGGCTGCCATTCTGGCCAGTATCGCCGTGATACCTCGTTCAGACGGCCGGATGAAGATGTTGATGGCACATCAACGGCCTGCTGTGTCAGGACCAGCAGGCGTAATTCGTCACGACCAGCAGGCGTGCTGTGTCAAGGTCAGCAGGCGTTGCTGTGTCAGGGCCAGCAGGAGTGCTGCGTCCGCGGGCCCAGCAGGCGGTGCTGCTCAGGGCCAGCAGCGTGCTGCGTTACGGCCAGCAGGGCGTGCTGCGTCACGGCCAGCAGGCGTGCTGCGTCAGGGCCAGCAGTAGTGCTGCGTCACGGCCAGCAGGCGTGCTGCGTCAGGGCCAGCAGGCGGTGCTGTGTCAGGGCCAGCAGGCGTGGCTGCGTCAGGGCCGCAGGCGTGTTGCGTCACGGCCAGCAGGCGTGCTGTGTCAGGGCCAGCAGGCGTGCTGCGTCCAGGCCAGCAGACGTGCTGCGTCAGGGCCAGTAGGCGTGCCGCGCACGGCCAGCAGGCGTGCTGCGTCAGGACCTCAGGACAGGGCGGGCCTCGCGCGGCGTGCCGCCGCGGCCCTGCTGACGCAACCGAACGGCGACGGGCCCGCCATTCCCCAGAGTGATGTGTCGCCCAATGGGCCAGCGGCGTTCCGTCGTAATTGGATGTCAGTCGGCCAGCGGCATCCCCAACGACGATCACTTTCACACACTCGCCGGTACACGATGCTGTTCCTACCGAGCGGAAAATCCGGCAGTAGGGATCTTCTCGAGCGTGAACCGAGACGACGGGGATCTCAGGGGACGCCAAATTATGCACGGCACGCACCGTTCAAGACGAGACGAGAAGATCACGTATGCCGAAGCGGCAGACCGTTCGAATTCTGCGGGCGTTTTGGAAAAACGCTACGGGTCAAAATTGGTAGCCCGAGTCTCCGTGCCCGGCGCGCTGTCCCTGTTTGCACAACAATAGCCGTAGTCATATACGAACCTCGCAAACGTTGCAAATGATACTGGAAAGTCCTGAAACAAGGAATATGCCGCGTGGTATATTGTCACTGACGCAACACACAATGTATTCCACAATGAAAGGCATCTTTTTGTCGGAGACGCATTCATTAAACGTGTTAAGGAGGACCTGTTGTATGTTGTGCACGAGCGTTGCCCGCGCTACGGTGTATTTTTAAAGAAAGAAGTAAAGCAGTCTTGGAGAAATGAAGCAAATAATTTGTCGTGTTTAAATAGTAAGAGCGGTTAAGTTATTTTAGAACATGACGAGTTTATTTATTAGCGTGACCCGGATCGAGGATAAGCGAACCGAAGCTAAAAAGAAAACGGAATGCGTACAAAGCTCTGGCTGTTAAGCTAAAGAAAGAGATTGAAGAACTCTTCTCTGAAGATGAAGGAGCTAGTTGCATTGAACACAATTGCCAGCAGCTTAAAGACCAGCTGGAGACTATGAGGGAAGTTAGTGAAAACATTTGTGACAGCTTACAGTCTGATGAAGAAGCTGCGGATATTTGTGGGAAGGAACGTATCAATTTACCGACGCCTGTGACGACCTGATGGTGATGGTATCAAAGAAACAGGACAATAATGCCACTGAAAAGACGAGAAATGAAAGTGCCTGTACAGTGAAAGGGAAATAAAACAACCGGAGCTGCCAGTGTTCGAAGGAAATGCAGCCAAATTCGAAGATTGGGAAGCTGTTAATTTATCGAAGCATTCATTGGAGACACTGAAATGGACCCGAAGTTTAAAATGTTATACCTGAAAAACAGCTTAGCCCGGTGAAGCACTAAAACTCGTAGAAGGCTACAAACCATCCGAGGTCGGCTATAGAAAAGCTAGAGAACAGCTGAAAGAAAAGTGCGGTGGAAAAACGAGACGAATCCATCACGAACTCAACGAAATCCGACACTTCTCGAACATCGCTGAAGGAGACACGAAGCGCCTGGAACAGTTCGCCAATCGCGTGGCCTGTCTCATCACCTCATTGAAGGAAATCGGTTCAGATAGCGACCTGTCTGGTGTGTCGGCTTATTACATTCTGGTGGCCGAAAAACCTTCACCCTTCATGTGTCAAAAAATATCAAAGATGGTTAGGAAACAGCAGGCCGTGAAGACAGCTTCGAAACCTTCGCTGAGTGGCTAGCTGAACAAGCTCGGCTGTGAAAAAAGGGCGAAGGAGATGACCAAATCAGAAGACGAACCAGAAGCAATGAGATAAAAAACAGAGGAAGAAGAGCGTATGCCACGAATAAGATCAGCAAGTCACGTGATGCAAGTTAGGCGCAAGCAAGCTGCTATGTGTGTCAAGCGCGTCACCTGCTGCGTGACTGCGCGGAGTTCCAAGCTAGGATGTATCGAGAAGATACGGATTTTGTAAATCAGAAAGGATCTGTTTCAGACGCCTCAGCGGAAAGCACCGCGGCGCTCACGTGCAGGTCATTCCCAAGATATGCGGCTGATGGATGTGGCGGAAGCCATCACACTTTGCTGCACGCGCAGCAGCAGGAGCAGCACCAGTAGCTGCATCGTATGCCGAGTGAAAACCAGTCTGTGCAATGGCAAAATGTTACTGAAGTAAAAGAGCTTTACCCATCTCGATAGGCAAGTGAAAATAGTTGGATCAGTTCCAGCGGTGCACTGAGAAACTTGAATAATCCCAGTACAAGCTACAACACGTCGACCTCAGAACCCAAAGTGACGTGTGGGAAAATAGTCGTCCAGACTGCGCTTGTAGTGGTACAATATGGACATCATTCGGTTGTGCTTAACGCGCGCTCTGATCCCTGCTCAGGATGCCTCATTCATGACGAAGGCTGCCGCGAGTGAGCTAGAATTCGATGGAGAAGAGCAAGTGCTACAGCTGGGTACTGTCAGCGGCACAGAAGATGTCACCATGAAGACGGGCATCGTGAAGTTGTCAAGTCTTCAACAGCAGCTACGAAGCGGGTCAGTGAATGTTTACGTGATACAAAGTCTCGATGGTGGTGCTTCAGTGCGTACTAACTGCAACACAGTGAAGAGGCGGTGGCTGCATGTGTAAACCGTACCATTCCCAAATATGAAGAACAGCAGTGTCGAATCCTCATCGGTCTGTGTGCGGAGACAACTCAGTTATTTGTCCCGCTTAGCTCCGTGAAAGGCGCTGCCTATGACCCAGTGGCAATTTTTGACGCCCCTGGGCTGGACAGCGTTCGGCTTTATCAAAGAGAAACACGTCGGATCTGAATTCTCTGACCTGAAGATGGGGAAGAACGTGACTCACGTGTAAAAAACACTGAGGACTCACTTCTGAAGAAAAAATGTGAAGAGGAAGTAGAAGCGATTAGGTCAATGGCCGATTTAGAGGTCATTCAAATCAGAGTCAGAAGAGAGCCTCATGTCACGTGAAGAGCAGGGGCGCTGAAAAAGGTATCGGAGTCGCTCTCGTACAAGGGTCATCGGCACCAGGCGGCGGTCTCGTCAAGAAACGTAGAGCCACAGCTGATGAGCAACTATAGCGCCACAATGCAGCATCTTGTGCGGTTGGAGCAATCTCTGAAGCGACTCGGTGGCGAGCTGCCGGCCAAGTGCGGTGAAATTCTTGAAGAGTACGTGAAGAAGGGTTACATGTCAAAAGTGCCCGTCTCCGAAAGGACAAACATCAGCGAGAAGGAGTGGTTCCTGCCACATTTTCCAGTCATCCGAGAGGAGAAGGCGCCAACAAAAATCCG